AAAATGACTGAATTTCCAAATTTGATGCCGTAACATATTACTCAAGATAAATAAGCATCTGGTTCATAAATATCTGTTTTAAAAAATGTCATCTTTGACAAGTAATAAGTGAAGAAGTGAAGGTCCTCTGCAAGTAAAATATTTATTTTTAAAAAAGCATTGCTAGGAAAAAAACAAACTTCATTATCTGTCTTCTATGAAGTGTTCTAAATTGTGTTATTTAATTCCTTCTTAAGCCACATTAACCCAAAAACAAAAATTATAGTAATTAACATTTATTTTTTCTTATCTGAAACCAAGAAATAAAATACCTAATCCTTCTTTAAGTTTAGTTATCAGTCCCCTTTTGCGCAGGGTTTTTTTGTTAAAGACACCCAGTGATGGAGAGAAGCTGTTTTGTAAAGCCTCAGGTGAGAAAGCTGCTCTCCTCTATTTGCATGTCTGGGCAGATCCTTTTCCTGCCCAGCCCCTGGTGGGTTTCTGATTGGGAAGCCTCTGAAGGCTGCCTTCAACCTTGGTTCTCACCTGAAGGCAATCTCAGATCTTGAAAAAACTTTGGAAAATATTTGGCACCTTTAGGTACAATCCGGAGCAACTAGGTTTACTCCTTTGTGGAGTAAGATAGCTGGAAATAGGCTTGGGAATTGTAAGTAGGGGAGCCCTCTACTGTTTTTCTCCTCCCATAGGAGAAGCAAGGCCATTTATGTAAACCCACTGTACATCATCAGCACCAAGAAAAACATCCGGCTTGTGTTATCAGTTTCTCAAGGAGAACAAGCTGGCAAGATCCCAGCTAGTGCTGAGCTACTCAGGTAAGAGACACCAGTACACTAATACTGTAGCTTATGAAAATGCTTACTGGGCTCTGCTGCTTCAGTTTACAAAGTATAGTTCAAATTAAAGTGAGATTTTGACAATTCATGTTTGTGTGCTAAAGTACAGTAATGCACAAAGAGAAGCCAGCTCCTCAGAGAGAGAAATCAGCTTTGGTAATAGGAAGTACATTCTCCATCTAAAATTCAGCAGTTATGATGGAAAACACAATAAACTGAGGAAAGATGAATGAGTACTTGAGAGGCTATAGTTTTCCAAGATGAAGGTTTTGAGCAGCAATGCTGTCCTAAAGTGTTTCTGCCATCAGTGTCTCCCTTTCAGCTATGCTGGCACTATGAACTTAATTTAAGAATTGAGGAGGCTAAAATTAAACAAAAAAACTAATCTCCTTGTCTGAGAATTCTCATGCAAGACATTTTCTGATCCTCAGTCCAGCTCAAAGAAAGAATCCAGTTTCTGCATACCAGCGTGTCACAAAATTTTCATCTACAGTGTAAATTGTAGATCTCCCCAAACTCATGCAAATCCAAATGGCTTCCTGTGAGCAGAGGTCCTTTACCCTAAACATTATTTTGATCAATGAAGAAATTAATGTGTGAACTACCCCCAATGTAGTCTATCACTAAGTGGTTAATAGGTGTACTGACTGCAAGGCTCAGCGTTACTCTATAGCTGTCTAGTATCCCTCAAGACAAAAACATTGTGAGAATAAGAGTTTGCATTATTGATATGGTTTGAAGCTGGCTCCCTGCCCAGTCTCCAAACCTTACCACCAGAAGTCCCCCCCCTGCCCCAAACCTCGGAGAGAAGAGGGAGAAAAACAACCAACTAAGAAAACCCGAAACGAGAGAGACAGCTAAAGTGATATATATAAATATATTTACACTTATGTTACAGTTGAAATATATATACAATTTAAAATATATACAATTTCACAAGGGAAGGGGAAGAGGGAAGGGAAAGGGAACAAAACCAAAGTAATATATATATATATATATATATATCCCAATCTGTAGCCTGAGATCTAGTAACTAAAGAGTTAGCAAAGAAATATCCCACCACTCTCCTTGGGACAACCGAGAGTCGCTCCGGGACAATCACCGGCAACCTCCGCCTCCCAGGGTCGACAAGGTCTTACCAGGCCTCGCTCCCCAACACGGCAGACTCAGCAGCAGGGAACCTGCACCTCCAAGCCGCTGGAAGGAAAAAGAGCGAAGGCCTCTTCTCCTTTCTTCTTATAATCTGGCTTACGTAAAAATCGTAGGGAATACTGGGTAAATCTGGACCCTTCCTTGGTTACAAACTGGTCACCAAGGAAGGCCTAGCCCAAACCACCACGATTATATATTAGAATTTATTTACTGGCAGTACAGGAAGCCTGTGTTAAAGTTATATTCTCCTATATTTTAATGTGTTATATATTCAACATGCATTTCATTATACATGCTTCCTAACACAGAAACCTTGGAAAGAATAAGTTATGACAAAGCCAGCATTGATTCTTTTTCTTTTCAAATTGAAACAACATCATAATTTCAGGGAACACAGTACCAAACACTGTGAAAGACACACCTGAATTCCAAAAATACTGCTTGTAAAAAACCCATTCATGTCACTTCTGTCAAACCACTAGCTTGATTTGTTGGCTTGAATTTGGGACAGATTGCAGTGTGAGTAAAGAGAGAACAGCTCCATCAAGGAACAAGAAGAAGAGGAATTCAGGATTAAAACCTTTAAGTTAAAAAACCAAAGTTTTAAGAGACACCTTGAAAATGTGATGCTAGTTGAGTGTCTAAGATGCATTCTGCTGACTGGGTGGAGAAGAAGGAGACCAAAACAGTGAACTAGAAGATGACATTTGTAATCTGATACTCCTCTGTTGTTCTTATAACCTTAAATAAAGTTTTGGGGGTCCAGCTGCACTGGCAAATATTAACAAGTTTTTGCAATTTTATATTGCAAGCAATCTTACTGCAAAATGGTAGGAAAATGTCAGCCTGTGAGGAGACCACCACCTTGCTCCCATCCTGGCTCCAAGGAAATTAAAATCTTCCACGTTTGGAAATTGAATTCAACTGTTCTGGAAGCCTGAAAATGTTTTGTACTAGTGCTGTTGATATTATAGCCCCCTAAAATCTTAAAGATTAGGCAATTTTTAAGAACTTCAGAGCAGCAAGAAGAGCACCACCTCTCAGTTCCGTTATAGAACCCTTTTGCTTTCTGCTTTCTAAGGTATTTGGGCTGCTGGTGCTGCAGTGTGATAGCAGGTTTTTTTTTGTCTGAATTATGTTTTATGTTAATATCAAAATATTTTTACATAAATCAGTTTTTATCTTTACTCCTAAAAGAACATAAATTTGGAAGGCAAGATATCTGAAACCAAGAAAATAAATAATACAGATGACAGTCTTCAGCAGGGAGTAATGCCTGAAAATAGAAATGAAGGGACTATTCTGTGTCTTATAACTTAATATAAGTTCGCACTTGCCACCAGAATAGAGGTTTTAGGTCTTATGAAATGGAAGATGGTATGCTTCTGGACAGCAGGACTCACCTGTAAACAATTTGGCTTTTTGCCATAATTTGACTTTTTATGGATATTTTTGATAGTAAATTTCACTGCTCCAAAGAGGGAAAACTTATTTTCTGCAGAATAACTTTTTATTAGCTACATCTCCTTACACTGTTTTGTAGGTGATCTCTCATCCAAATCAATACATTCATAAGTTCTTTCAGTGTTTGCAAGAATATAAACAACTGGTTGATGAAAAAGTCAGTCATATGATTAAAAAAATTGGAGTAAATAGAAGACAGGAAATATCACCATTTGTAACTTGAAAATAATACTTTTCACTTACTACTTTCTGTCAATATGCAATACCCTTGAAACCAGAAATATTGATCACATTTTACAAGTGATTCTGAAAAATGGGTTTCTTTCTAAGTTGTTCAGGGCTATTACGGGTCCAGACTACAGGAGTAATCCATAATGGACATCCTAAGCATATGAGTTCCCTGACCAAAACAATGTACCTGAGTAAGGTGAGCAGAGTGGGTCAGGTGATTGTGACAGACTCCATCAACAATCCAATAACCATGAGAGAAAAATAAGATGGCAAGTGAAGGCAACAAGCCAGGTTCACCTACCATTGCTTTAAGCAGGGCCCTGAGACCACATCTCTAGAAAGAGATGTTCCTCAGTCCTACCCCACCACCTCAGTCCCATGAAGCCAGCAATCCATCTTGTGCAGCTGGGAGAAAACAGCAGGGTCTAGGTGGTTTGGAGGCAATGCCTGGACCTGCATCCAATCTAAGCAATGGATGGTACTCATAGTCTCCAAGTTCTTGCTGTAGATCAAAATTAAGCCTAAAGTACACCCAGAAGACAACAAAGCTACTCTGTACTGGCAGAGCTGAAACTTCTCTGACATGCAAGTGTCAACTGTTGCTGTCAGTTCTTTAGTCTTCAGTCACAAAGATGTTATTGCTGAAACAGGGGGAGCAATGTAAGAGTTGTTATGAAATGTTATGCTGGGAGGCATTAGGAACTGTTCACTGCCCTTAACTCCTACTGGAAGCTAAAAGAACTTTACCACTTTTGAAGGAAATACTGCAGGACCTCCCAGTTAAGTCAAAGAACTTCACAAGTCAAAGAACTGTATGAAGGCAAAAATGCATTTTCTGTCCGAAACTAGAGCAGGTGGGAAAGAAGCTTTTGCTCATACCAAAACTTTGGGTTGAACTTTGATTTTTTAACTCTCTGAAGCACTGAAGAGTGAATTAACCAGATTAATGCTGCCACAAAGGCACTCAACTTCTTATTCTCAGGTTTCATAGGCAAGAGTAGCAGTTTGTGAGTCTAGGCTGAATGTAAGTGTACCTGGCTACTGATAGTCCACAAATAATTCCAGCTGGATACTGCAGGATGACTGAAGAACATGCATCATGTCCTTCAGGTCATAAAGGAAGGGTGGTGCAAGGAGCATTTTAAAAGGCCTCTGTGTTCTTCCTGCTCCTGAGCCAGGCAATATCTGAACTCATCTTTGGTGCAAAACCAAATCTTTTTGCAGTTTCTTTGACTTTCGTGAGGTTGCTCACAAGCCACAGGATAACAGTTCAAATCACAACTTTTTTCTTTTTTTTTCTTTTCCATCTGCCTACTCTAGAGGAATCTTCCTCACAAAACTTGGACCAGCCCCAAACTATGTGTGACTGGAGCCATAGGTACTGTCTACATTGGTTTCCTTGGCAAATATTACATAGCTCCAGAGCAAACAAACAGATAAAAGCAATTAAAAAAAATTAAAGGCCTAAGCAAAAACAAAATTACTTTGTTCTGCCTAGAATGGAAAAAAGAAAGATGATTTAGAGGTAGGTAGAAAAGAGTGAACAGAGCCAAAATAGTTGCTTCCCAGGCCTTGTAGGCAGTTCACAATTAGAGAGGCGAACAAGCATAATGATCCAGCTCTTCAATCCCAGCTACTATTCATACCAGATTATAATGTTTGCAAACACAGCACAAACTTAGAAACTGTGTGGGAAATAAGGTTGCTACTTACACCCGGAAGAAATCACAAGCTTCTCGCTGATCACTTAAAAGCAGAAATAGAACCAAAATTTCCTACGAATTTGTCATTCGGCTCCAGTTAACAGTATGACAGCATGTTAGTAATGGCTGCTTAGCTCATTTCTGCCAAGGGAATTCCACAATCTGTTCTACATGGGCCTCAGAGTCCTCCAGGTTAATCTAATGCATGATCTCCAGCCTGAAAAGCTTAAATACTCACAGCTCTTCTCCCAAGAAACAAACATATAATCAAATCTTATGCTTCAGGGAATAAGCTTATGGCTTTAGGCTCGGCAAGGACTACTTCTATTTTATGGCTTTGCACAAATTGTGGGGTTTGCCTTTCCTCTGAAGCATGACACATTAGCTGCTCTTGGATGCGGAATACCAGGCTTAATAAAGCAATGTTCAGAGCTGGCTAGCAGAGTCTGCATTTTTATGTTTTTTTTGTCAGCAGCATTCTGTTTTTTCCTCTAAACTTTGAGGCAAAGGAGAACTATTAATTGGCAGCACTATTTGCAGTGGTATGTCTGAGAGCAGATGCACCAAAAATGACATTACCTGTAAAGCAAATGTGACTGATTATATGAGGTTCATACCTATGCTTGGGATCTCCTTCAGGATCAGAGGGTCTTCTGCATGTAAATAGAAACACAGCTTTTATGGATGTTTCTCAAATGAGCAGATCTCTTGGAGGATTTGTTGTAGCTCTCCCATTATTATTTTATGGGCCAGCAACCAGGTTGTCCTTATAGCACAGAAAGTAATGCAGTTGTTGTTTGGCTTGCAGACATCTGACACAGTACAAGCGAATTCAAAAGGCTTTTCCATGGAAATAGGAGTGCAGTTGTAAAAATACCCGTGGCACAGGTGGGCTTTCCTCAATGAGGCAGCCAACCCTCTGTGTTTCACAATTGATGCTCAGAAGATAGCAATTCTGACTCATTTCCACAAAATTAGGTTTCATTCCACCTTTACCCCTTCCCTATAAATTCCACACAGTGTCAGGACAAAATGTGTAGCCCAGGAAAGACACTGCAGCTAAATTATCTAGAGCAAGGGAAAAGCCTTGAATATTTTACAGGACTGAGTGGCCCTGCAGATTGTGTCAGTCATAAACAAGCACAATGCAAGCTCACATCTGGGTTTTCAGCTTCTAAATACTGAAGCTGCCAAGGCAACAGATGAGATTTTCCCATCAATAGCCATTGAGCAGACATTTATTCTATGACCAGTTTTAGACCAAGAAGAAGTAATATGGCCTTGTCACACGCAAAGCTTGCAATTAGAAATAAACAGCCTCCATTTTATGCCAATCTTCTTAAAGAAGCAAGGTCACTTAATCTGACAGCCACAACAAAAGAGCAGAGAAACGAGGTGACCTGCAGGTTTGTTTAATAGTTGAGTAAATACAGGGGAATTTTTTTGTTAGAAAGCCAAGTTTGCTAAAAGAAAACTTCAACTACACATTTTCAAACTATCTCTTTTAAATTAATTCCTGTTCTTTTAAATTGATTCTCATTTTAAATTCTAAATGTTTGCTGCAGTTAATTATCTTCTAACTCTGTTTCAGTTGGCATCTTTGGAGGTGAAATTAAGAACAAAATGTCTCCTGGAAACTACAGATCATCTCAGGAGACCATCTAATAATCTTCACTCCCTCTAGGTGATTACTGGGGAACCTCTGAAACTGTGATATTACAAATCAGAGATATGGACCATAGCACCTCTTTGCAACAGCCAGAACAGCCATCAGGAACCTTAGCTCAGGGAGTGCTTCATCATGAAGAGATTACCTTGCATTTCCCTATCTAGTTCTTTCATGTGTCTGATGCCTCTCATCCCACATTTGATGCTGGAAGTTGTACAGGACAGGTGAGGTTCCCAAGGTAGAAGTAAGCAGTGCCAGCCACAGAGCAGCCCTGACACTGGAATGGAGGTCTGCAGTAAGCGGGAGAGAGGTAATAACAACAGCAAAGGGAAACAACAGAGTAAATTGTCAAAAGACCCAAAAGTCCCAGCAAAATGCAGTGGACAACCCTAAGTGCTTCATACGTGCAGTATAAGAGTTACAAAATGTATACAAATTAAAAAATATAGTTTCTAATCTCCCAGTTAATAACTGGGAGAGGAGGAGGTGGACTTACGACAGTAGCATGCTGAGGATGGAATGCAATTCCAATAGTAGGACTCAGGATGTGAAAAACAAACCCAAATGATTTATGGTTCTGATTCCCAAGTGATAAGAATGAACGTAATAAAGGTAGAATAGTAAAACTAGTTAGACAGGTGAACAAATCACCTTGATACCAATTTATAAAATAAATAACTTTTCAATAAAAATTGAAACTGGAAAAAAAGTGCATTTTCACACATAGCTCAGAGATCACATAAATGTCAAGTGGCATGACAGTTGCTGAAATAAATGCTCTTTTTATGAACAGCAGAGTAGTAAAGCAAGCAAAATAGATGCATAAAATGGGTAAATTTCCAGTGTATTAGTTATTGCTGCCTCTGAGCTGCAATAAATTACAAACTCATTTTTAACTTTTTTTTTGTGTTCATGAATGCATTTTTGGGACTGGTTTTCCACCTCCTTCTTTCACAACTCCATTTTTCAGAGATTTATATTCTTCTTTAAAGTCTATAAATAAGAAGTGTCCAGATCTTTCCTATATGAAGGAAGAGGACTGAAAACTCAGAACAACCTATTTATTATGCATTTCTGAACTTTCATTGCATAAATTCTGCTATCTGTGAACACATTGCTTCCATAAAACTTGGTTTTGTCTGGATATTTTTCCCCTTACAAATGAAATCTAAACTAAGTTTTCTGAAAAAAAATCGTGGACCTATCCACCCTTCACTTTTTTCCTTTGTTTTTCGTTTCTTGTTTATAGTACAAAATCACAGTACGTTCTCTTTATTTACTACTCAGTATACTTATAAATAAAGGATGTAAAATTATCAAGACAGAATGGACTGGAATCAAAAAGATGAAAGATTTTTTTGAAATACAGGTTGGCTGTTCCCAGCTGAAAGGAGGAAACTAGTTAGTGACTAAAAGTGCCACAGAGAAAATGTTAAACTCTGACTCTAATTGCATCCTCTGTTATCCCTCCCAAAAATAAAACAACAAAACCACACTCCGAAAAGAAGTAGTTAAGATTAAAGGACCATTAAGTTCAGATATGCCTTTTTTCCTCAGCTTGGTGAAAAGTCTATCCTGCTTTGCATCCATGTGGTGCTCATTTTTGCACTGAGATAAATAAGTATGCAAAGAGGAGGACAAACAGGAACCATAGACAGAGTTTTTCAGTATATTTATGAGTTCATACGTACAAATACAAGAGGGTTTAACTCCTTACTGTGCTTGTATATAAGATACTCGTTAAAACAGGGACACAGGAACATAGAGATGATAGCTAATGTCTGAAATCAATGTCCCAGGTGTAATCCAAAAATTCATGCCAATATCTCCTCTTATTTTCAAGTCAAAGTGAGGGACCTGAATCCTGTGACACTCCATTAATGAAAAAGAGTAAATGTCCCTTTAACCACCCATATGTACCTGTTTTACATAGCAGATTTCTGGTACAGATTCCTTCAATTTTCTTGACTGCTGTGGATTCACAGACATCAAGACATATTGCCCAAACTGGATAAATCTTTTTTTTAATTGAATTTCTCAATCACACCATTCAAGATTTAGCCAGAACAGATTAATGTACTATAACTCAAGCCCTATTTAATCTAGCTACCTGATTAATGTGTAATTCTATGACTTTCACATTAAATTCAAAACAGGCCTTCCAAGTTATACAGCAACAGAAAGTAAGCCCAGCAAAGAGAAAAACATCCTGCTAATTTTCATTAAAAATCTCATTCACGCTGGCATAATATTAATCAAGTTAAATAATAAATGTTTCAAAATTTAAGGACTAGGTTTTTTCCCTCCCAAACCACCCTGTGGTCTCTTTTACCTTTGCTGATCATTATATCTGATAAATGTACTGACAGTCCTCTACCCATGGAGCTGATAGAGTTGAAAAGGAGAAGAGTAAGATCTAAGAATGTTTTTAATTGAAGAGTCACTGGGCACTCTTTGATAGGTTCTGCATTGAACATGCATTCCTATCCTAATAGTCAGTGAAGGACAACCAGTTCCTTGCCTTTTCTTTGCCCTGGCTGTAGAGTACAAGTATAGCTGATACTTGACGCTAGAGCCACAGCTGGTATCAGTTTTCAGTCACTGTTGATTCAAGTTGATGTATATACCTATACCCCATTAAGCGCAAACACTGGGCCCTGTAACCCACATAATTTTAATGCTTAGCAGCTTGAACTTTTTCTTGCTTGCTAATTCCTCTAAACTTCATTCTAGTTTGTTATGAATTATAAATCTTATAAGAAAGTCCATCCAGGAAGTCAGGGGCTTTGCCTGGATGTCATTTTGATTGTGCTTTCAAATTTCACAATTTTTTTCTTTCTTTTTAAATGGGAACTAACTGGTATTGCTGACTGAAATTAATGGCAAGAAGACAAAAACATTTTTTTTCTTTGCTGTGTGACTAAAAAAAGTTATGCTTTATTTTCTCCTGACAGCTGGCTTTCAGTCATGCACGAGTCATGAAATCTTTTGAACAGTATGACTGTCAATCACAAGATAAGCTAGATGAAGGAATCTACAGATACGATAAAGTTGTATTAAATTCATCAAAGGCTTTAAACAACATTGCAATCTATTTTTTTTCATATTTCTTTTTCTTCCCCAGAGCAGATGACTGTTGCCTCCTATACTGTGTAAAGAAAATTTATGATAAACTAAAACTTTCTTCAACATCATTGCTCTTAATGATTTTTTTCATGTTTTAGTCTTTTAATTAACTGTCTTTAATTATATCATGCAGTTCATTCCTCCCTCCTCAAATCTGAAGCTATGTAGCAAAGAAGCTACTTGATGAGTAGCTTTGAAAAATTCATGATCTGGGATGTACTAATAATGTCTCTCAGTTCATCATTATCATGATTTAGAAGCATCATAAGGTCTTAGAGGTAACTCCACTAGTAAAAAAATATACAGTTATTTTAGGATATGTGTGTAGGTAAGATGACATCTCCATTCACACTGAAATTTCTGGGCATTAGATGATGGAAAATACTAGCAATATATATGTGAAATTCACAGGCTCTGTCTCTGTTCTATTATCACTACATCTAAACTAATTCATCATCATCACCATCATCATGGCTAGGCTTCGTGAACGAAGATTTGAGAAGGGCTCTACCCACATTTGCTGCAAGCGCGCTGGTGGCTAAAGAGGCCAATACAAGAAAGACACATCCAGTTGCAAAAGGCACAGCAGAAGGATTTCTTAGGTGACATTGTCAAGACATGATTCTGTGTTGTCTTTTCTCCTCAAGAGTGATCCTGTGTGTGTTCTCAAAAGAAGCAGCAGCATTGTGAATAGTGTGTCTCCAGACCTCCCGATTGGAGGCCAGAGTAGACCAGTTATGTTGATCAATATGGCCAAGGCTGAGATGTTGTTTCAGGGAGTCCTTGTATCTTCTGGTGACTTTAATCTGCCGGATATCTGCTGGGAGCTCAATACTGCAGAGAAGAGGCAGTCTAGGAATTTCCTGGAGTGTATAGAGGACAATTTCCTTCATCAACTGGTAAATGAACCTACCAGGGGTAAGGCCCCACTAGACCTGCTGTTTACAAACAGGGAGGGGCTGATGGGAGATGTAGTGGTTGAAGGCCGCCTGGGAAATAGTGACCATGAAATAATAGAATTTTCAATACTCAGAGATTCAAGGAGAAACAACAATAAAACCTCTACGCTGGACTTCCGGAGGGCAGATTTTGACCTATTCAGAAGTCTAGTCCAGAGCATACCCTGGGAAACAACCCTTGAAAACAAGGGGGTCCAGGAGGGATGGATATGCTTCAAGGAGGAAGTTTTGAGTGCACAGGAACAGGTCGTACCGGTGTGCCGAAAGGCAAGCCGGTGGGGAAGACAACCAGCTTGGTTAAACAGGGAGATTCTGAAGAAAATCAGGGATAAAAAGAGAGTTTACCGACTGTGGAAGAAAGGGCTGGCTACTTACGAAGAATTCAGGAAGACAGCTAGATCATGCAGAAAGAAAATCAGGGATACAAAAGCGCAATTTGAAGTTAAATTAGCCACTTCTGCTAGGGATAACAAAAAGTCCTTCTATAAATACATTAATAACAAAAGGAGGGGCAAAGAAAACCTCCATTCTTTGAGGGACTTGGAGGGAAACATAGTTAATAGAGATGAGGAGAAGGCTGAAGTACTTAACACCTACTTTGCCCCAGTTTTTACCCGTAGGACAGGTGGCCCTCAAGGCAACTGGCCTCTGGAGCTGGTAGACAGAGACAGGAAACCAAATAGTCCCCTTGTATTCCAGGAGGAAATAGTTAGTGACTTACTGAGTCATCTGGATCCTCACAAGTCTATGGGACCAGACGGGATCTATCCTAGGGTAATGAGGGAGCTTGCAAAAGAGCTCTCCAAGCTGCTCTCCATCATCTTCCAACAATCCTGGCTCACTGGGGAGATCCCATATGACTGGAAGTTGGCAAATATCACCCCAATCCATAAAAAAGGCTGCAAGGCTGACCCTGGTAACTACAGGCCTGTCAGCCTGACCTC